TTTTTACATAGGATATGACTAATATTTTTCATCATATTTTCCCAACATACTTTGTAACTTTCACATGCTAGAACAAAGTGTTCTAGTGTTTCATCACATTTTTTTGGAGCATGAACATGTACAGTCACTATTGACATTTGCCCACTTTCTTTTCTCATACGCAAGACCTAGAGTGTATGACCTTGCGTTGTTTTAAGCTGGGCACCTTTATAATTTTCAACTGATTTTAAATTTTATAGTTTTTATGATATCATGAATACATTTTGGCAGTTCCTCATTTTGATCATTTAAAACATTAAAAAAAACTTTCAGCCATCTGGAATCTGCCATATTGCACAATCTTTGGTAATATTTTAGTTTCATTATATCTAGTCTACATTTCATTGTGAACAACCCCAAATCACCAAAGATGTTCATGTCGGAGTTCAGAGTTCAAACACTATGATGGCTAGTAAAACTGACTTGCCCATATTCTTGTGTTTTTCTTCAAGTGATTTCATAGTGGCATCCAACTCTGCTTCAACTTCTTTTTCAAAATCATCCTCACTGGATGAAGCATCTGTAAGGTCTAAGCTGCCGCGACTCAGACTCCGGGTCAGTCTGCGTTTCTGTTTTGGTGTACCATGCAATATAATGTCAAGCTCATTATCCGAACTATTAGTGAAAAAGAGTGATTTAGTTAATGATGGATAAATACCATCAGGTAATGATGAATCACACACATGATTGACAGGTCCTGAATTCAAATCCCACACCAGGGGATGAACAACAAAAAATATACATCCCATGTGTCCTTTGAGATACAAACTATCCTGTGTCCACTGATTGAAACTGCATTGGACACGGCGAAATTGGCACGAAACAGCATTGTGGACGAAACAACACAGATGAAACAGCATTTGAACGAAACAGCATTGTGGAAGAAACAGCACTGAGACGAAACAACACAGATGAAACAGCATTGGGACGAAACATCATTGGAACGAAATAGCGTCGGGTCGAAACAGCATTGACAAGAAACACCAATTTGGGACAAACCGTCTTTGGGACGAAATAGCATTTGGAGTTGGGACGACACATTATAAACGAAACAACGTACAATCAGCATTCGCGGGAAAATATAAATAACATGCGTATGATGTATTACCTTTCACTCTTAATATCGTGTTCTTCTTCATCACTCTCTTCGAACACACAATAACCGTCATAGTCTGTCATTGTACGTTTAATATTAAGGGACAGATCAGACGCACGGGCGACGTACGTACACTACTGCAGTCCGCGACTTGGTAATCTCTCAGCTGTTTAGGTAGCCTCTCCAGATCGATCGTGAAGTTAGCAACATATTCACATTCCAACTTAAAATTCAAATTTCAGCAACAGAGTTTGATTTACCAATCTTCTTCAAGTTAAAAAATAAAGTCAAAGTTTGCGTTTATTAATTTGGTGTTAGTTCTAGTACATACAATAGTTGAATAATTAAAAATGAGATTTATTATTATTATTTATATAGCGCACTACACTGCGTCTCAGAGCGCTTTACAAAGTTGAAATGACAATAAGATAGGATTAATAACATTGGTTAAAAAGGAATCTTTTCAAGTGACTCTTAAATGTAGCTCTTGATGAGCACGAACGTAATGACAGGGAAAGATGGTTCCATAAAATTGGGGCAATTATATAAGAAAAATATATAAGAAAAAATCAAAATCTAAGGAGGCACTTTCATTAGCTTTAGAAGTCATTTGGTAACGCCCATTACAATTGAACTGATCAAGAGCGTGTGACAATGTATCAAACAAAGATGGGAATTGTATTCATGACAATAATAACAAAAATTTAAAATATTAAATATGATTATCATAGTACGCTTTTTGAACAGACAATCTTTGAGCAGAGTCTTAAATTTGTTGAAATCAGAGCAGTGAGGTTCAGCCACAGAAAATGATGTACGATCCTCGCAGTTATCAAATTTCTCCTGGGAACGATTAGTGATTGAATAATAAATAATTAATTTCATGCAAAGATGTCTAATGTTTAACAAACACATTGTGAAATTCTTTCGTTTTTATACAGAAAAATACAGCATTTTTAACAAGTAAAATCACATTTATTAAAGTTATTGTTCATACATTTGTTGTTGGTAATTATGAAAATTCAAGTTATTTATGAGTGCATAGGAAATACATTTCGTCATGAATTATTTTTGATATAAATTGAATTATCTTGTCAAAATAATTGTTTTCGGGATTTTTTCACCTAAAAAAAATTCACAATGTCGAAAACGGAAAGTCTTTATCGTAGTCATGAGTGTTAATGATATCGAAAACAAACATTGAAGCTGATTTTGAAATCGTATCCAATGTATCAGATTTATATCAGAAACCATTATCAGACAATCAACTATAATTAACAGGACATTTTTATTTTATTTTTTTAAATTCGCACAAGTTCTTTACCAGATGTTTACACACTTCATTTGGTAATCATTTCTCGAATTTGTTCCGGCAATAAACTTTGAATACGTTCCCAATCTGAATATGTTGCTACATTCACGCTCGTGTTGAAAACGAGGTCACGACGAAGGCTTTCAGGGCTCATACCACTAATTGAATTTCCATAGACGACAATGTTAACATATGACGAGATTGCTATATGAAAATGACGAAGAAAGTTGAAAATATGGCTCAAAAATGGGAAATCAACATGCCAGTAATCAACCATATGAAAAAAACTAACATGTTGGCCAGCTCAAACTCTTGCAAATCTCAGGTAAACAAGACACACCTACTGTATTTGGATTGCACCAAGAGAAATCACTGGAAAAACACCAAGATTAGAACATCCATTAACACACAGAATAAACCCACAGGTTGTTGGTCTCACCTCTGACCCAGGTGATTACGCCCTCAAACAGGGAGCACCTGAGAAAAATAATATTTAAAAAATTTCATTGGTTCTTGCTGGGCATTTTTTGGGCTACGAGCAGCCATTGGTTAATTAGTGGCATGAGACCTTTCTAACCATCGATTTCCAAAAACAGGGCTCCTTAACTCGTTTTCAATGGGCATATAACCTCGTAACCCCTGGATATCTGTCATGTGATTTCACTTACGCTGTGACATGTGATTTTACTGATCACATAGACGTATCACATAGCAAGTCTCACGGGTTTAAAACCTTAAAGAAGCGAGTGTCTACAAACACACATTTTGTGAGAAAGTATTGCAATGAAGACTTTACTGTTGGTACTATCATTTACGTGTGTTTTTGAAATCTCCAATTCAATTCTAGGTAAGACAAGAGAAAGTGACCAGTATTGTTCATCGATTATGAATGCTAATAGTGAACAAGGCATTAAAGGCCGAGTGTTGCAATATTCATTAAAAATATTTATGTACAAGAATTTACATTCATATTTATAAATGATGTATTTATATTCGTAGAATCTACATTTGTATTTGTAAACTTTCCTTTCATATTCGTAATACAAATTTGCATTTTTGTGGAAATTTGCATTTGGTATATTTGTAAAATCTTGGCTACAAACACGATAGAGTTTGAACTGCTAATACTGTCACAAGGGGTTTAAATAAATATTTAAAACTAAAACAAAAATACACCTCTTAAATATTTTTCATTATTTTATTTCCTGTTTAATATTCCTGTAACTAAAATTATTGTATCCCTTCTACATTATTGTACTTCTACATTGACCAGATAAGGGGTAGAGTTATCAAAATCTTAATCAGGATATACGATTTCAATAAATTGGTATTATTACATACCACACTAGGAAACTTCCAGGACATGTTGGTATTTGTAGCTGGCTGGTAAAGTACTATAGTCTAAGAGTTAACATGGAAGTTATGAAATATCATTCATAAAACTGTTAGAAATAATGCCAGAATATCCTATACATTTTACTAAATTTGTGGGGAGGCATAACTGTCATTCTTAATCTACTAATATATGATTTGATTGCTATTAAGATTTTACTTGCTGCTATGTACATTCATGCATTACATATTAATTAATGTGATCTTGATCGTTATTAACAATCATCAATACTGTTACTGTTACTTGCACTTCACATGCATCATAACTACATTACTTAACATGACACCCAGACACACCAGTTTTCCAGACATAATGATTTGCCAGACATACTTGTACCATCTGTTGAATAACATCAATTTGATTATGGCTTGCAGGAACACATTTTTGGAAGTTCCAGGAAAAGGTAGGACAGTACAAGAAAAAACGATTTTTGAAAAATAAACTAAGATGGCAGAAAGTGTTTTCTCCAAACAGTCATTTAATGTATAGTGAATTTGAAGACCTATACTTGGAGCAACCACTGGACCATTTTGATCCATTGGTAACAGATATATATGAACAAAGATACTGGGTAAATCCCACTTACTGGAATAAAGAAAATGGTCCTGTATTTCTGTTTATTGGTGGTGAAGGAGCACTGGGTGCATATGATGTGGAAGAAGGTATGTGTAATGTCATTATTGTATTGCGTCAGCCCTAATTTATATTTATATATGCATAATGTTTTTATTTTTGGTCAAACCTAATCTAGGTTTCAGCACATCTTTAAATTTGCATCATAAAAGTTTTGTAATTAACTGTAAATTCTTTTTAGGAGAGCATGTTGACCTGGCAAAGAAATATGGAGCGTTGATATTTGCTGTAGAACATAGATTTTATGGTGCAAGTATAAATAAAGATGGCCTGAAATTAGAATATTTACAGTATTTGTCAAGTCAACAAGCGTATGTGTCAACATTTATTGTGGTGTGAATGGTTGTAGCATTTCTACTGTAAAAGGGCAAATATTCACTGAGTTCAATTTTAATTGACTTGATGTTTCAGGTGTTTTCACTAGAATTTAAATTCAATGCTTTAATTCGATTATTAAATAAGAATAAATTCACTGTCTTTTTATTTTATCACATTTAGCTGTCATGAAAAATAAAACCCAGTGAATAATTAAACCCTGTTGATATACAGTAATTTACCAAGGATGTGGAAAATATTATATACTCATTTTGAATTTTCCATGGATGTTAATAGTAAGATTTAATATTTGTTATGCAAATTCAAATTTAAATGAAATGAAATGATTTCTAATTCACAGTTGATGTGATTGCATAGTTGAACAACCATCATTTTAAGGTGTAAGAACTTATAAATTAATTGTAAACCAAATCCATGGGTAACCTGACATGAGTGTACCTGCAGACCTAGACTTTGTAGATTGATTCGTTTACTCTTCTTTAAAGTAGTAAATGGAGGAGATATATTTCAATGACAAAAAATTATGCTACACTTTGTGAACTTGACTTATTGCTCTTTCAGATTGGCAGATCTTGCATCATTTCATCGTTTTGCCACTTCTAAGTATAATATTACACAAAGCAACATATGGATATGTTTTGGTGGTTCTTATCCAGGATCACTCTCAGCATGGTTTAGATTGAAAGTAGGTCATTCTCATATATGTATTCAATAAAACAGTTTGTTGCAGGATAACATGATTATATTGGTTATTCATATCTGTTAGAGAAGATATAGCAAATTTCATTTCTCATACTAATGTTGATTTTATCTCTCATATAAATTTTGATTTCCCATAGGAGTGTTGATATTATTTCTCACATGTTTGTGGATGATATTATTATTATTGGTGTTGATATAATTTTTCTACACAGTATCCTCATTTAGTTTATGGAGCCATAGCATCTTCAGCACCTGTGAGGGTAGTTAAAAATTTTGAAGGTTATAACCAGGTGGTTGCTGCAAGTTTGGCAGATCCTGTTGTCAAAGGATCTCTAAAAGTAGGTACCACTACTAATTATCTTATCAATAAGAAAATTTAAATCATAATCCTAGATATTCAATATCTTCTATTTATTATTTCTTTTTTATTTAAAAGTGTTCAGATAACATTGCTGCAGCATTTAAGATAATAGACCAGAAGATCAAGGACAAACAATTTGACACGTTGAAGGCTGACTTTAAGTCTTGTAATAACATCAGTAGCTACAATGATACTGCATTATTTCTCAACAATCTTGCTGGTATATTTATGGGTATTGTACAGTATAACAATGAAATGCCTGACTGGAACGTGGCTGCAGTTTGTCAAAACATGACTCAACCAGCAAGTCCTTATGACAACCTTGTTAAATTTACTACAGTAAGTAACCTATATTGTATTGATAAATTAATAACCACAATTCAATGGGTGTTATATGTTTACTCAAAGACACTAGAAAATACATATATATTTTCTAGTGTCTTATTTTACTGAACACTTGCAACTCGATTGGCCTCAGTCTCTATGGCTAATAAATATGCTTTCAGTCATTACTGTTTTATGAAATCTATAACATTCAATTTTACACTGACTAGAAATAGTATGAACACTAATATTGAATGTGTCTTTTTAGATATACCTTGATGGAATGGGGCAGGAATGTTTTGATAATTCCTATGATAATTTCATACAAGAACTTGAGGATACGACTCCGACTGAAGAGGGTGTTGGTGTAAGACAATGGACCTATCAGACTTGTTCTCAGTTTGGCTATTGTAAGTCGATACGTACAGTATTATGTACAATGGTATAAAGAACGTTCAACTCTGTCATAGTGGTAATGGCATTGATCCTCCATGCTACATCCTATAGTGGTAATGACATTGATCCTCCATCCTATAATGGTCATGATATTGACCCTCCATGCTATAGTGGAAATGATATTGACCCTACTATAGTGGTAATGACATTGACCTTGTAGTAGTAGAAATGATATTGACCCCATGGTACAGGAATTGACATTTGATACAGTGATACAGAAATTAAATTTAACAATTCGCTGCTCAGATTTAGATGAACATTATACGACTAATCTTACCCATGAATGCTGTTACACTCAATGAATTATTATTTTATTTCTCCCAACTATCATGTAACAAAAATAAACAATTAGTTTAAATACAACTTGAATATTTTAAACAATTTCTTAACCAGAATTGTATTTTGCATCAATATTTTTAATGATTAATTAACATAATTTGCATAATTATTTTTCTCAATTTTAGTGGATTTACATCATATTGATATTATTATAATTTGATTTTTTCAGATCAAACTTGTGATCAAAACACCACTTGTTTATTTTCCCCATTGATTGATCTCAAATCAAGTCTGGAGGTGTGTACTACTGTCTTTGGTATCCATGGTAAAATTGTTGATAAACAAGTAGACTTCACCAATTCCTACTATGGAGCAAATCATCCCAAAGGCACTCGCATAGTGTTTGTAAATGGTAAGTATTTAACTTAGTTCTGTATGCAAAGCATACAATGGAAGTCGTTGCATTTACCTTGTCAGAGTATATACAGTATATAAATGTCTGTTTCACTGCACAACAGATGTCAATGAAACTTGGTGCATAGATACTTGAGATAATGCACAGACCTGATTATCCCCTGGCACATAGTGCTAGCTGGGGTATATAGTGGGGTGTATACCAGCATCCATACGATGTCATATCAGGAGCACTATTGCAGATATTAACACTGTTGTATTGAAATCATGGCAAACTAGATATGATCAACATATTTAATTACCATATAATGATATGTTCATGTGACCTCATTAAAATGCATAAATATATCTAGAGCACTATTGCAGGTAGGGCACACAATCTGATAAACATATTTAATAACTGTATATGGCCATGTGATATCATTAAAATTACATTAATATCATATCTGGAGCACTATTGCAGATGTAGACTTTCAATCAGTGCTTGTAATAAAGATGCTGGGGGTCTGCCATCTCAGATTTCAATGAAACTATGTGCAAATATCGTGAAAGCCACTAATTGCAAAGCTACTTGTACAGTTCATAAAAAACTTACCAAACAAAAATACTGGAATCGAATTTAGGAGTTCTCGTACAATAAATTGGTCCTGAGTGATTACAACAATTATGTTTGAGATTTGACACTGACCCATCAGTACAGGCTAGCTTCAGTGTTCCAGTAATTCAGGATTTGTTGCCAAGTCAACAAATTTTATCATTTTGTAGGGATCATGATAATCAGTGGAAGGTGTTCTGCTACATATAATACAAAGTAGGAATACAATTTGAAGGATGCTGGAACTGTAACAAAACATTAACTTCCAAATTAGAAAATAAATTTTTTGCACGCAAACAAATTTATACAGTTCTGTGTAGATGGTTTACATGTACTTTATACCAGCCAAATTAAGTACAGAACTAAACATGTTTTTAATGTCAATCAAGAAGAAGAACTAACACCCATACTTACTTGAAAAGTGTATTATTCATTATTTGTTATTAATCCATATTTATATTTATAAAACCAAAGGAGATTCTCATCATGTTTGATATATTTACTGTTTTCTAGGTTCTATTGATCCATGGCATGCATTGAGTGTACTCCGTAATGAGAGTCCATCACAAATATCCATATATATCAATGGTACAGCGCATTGTGCTAATATGAAGTCACAACAACCTACTGATCCACCATCTTTAGTTGAAGCTAGACAGGTAACTTGGTTTTATTGATTGGCTCAATACACATTATTTTCACTATACCGGTATATCCCCAAACTGTCAGTAATAGAGTTATGTTATTAGTCACACTTAGTAAATATTTCATATCATTAATAATGATCATGTTGAGTCTACTGCCCTCTATTGATGACCTTTATACTGGGATCCCAATAACTATATAACCTGCTTTGATTCTATTTGCAGAAAATTGATGCACAAATTGGTGAATGGTTGAACGAAACGAAACTTCCAAATAAAGACATGAGACTTTATTTCACAGTTTAGTACTTCCTACCAACATTGTTTTGAATCAACAAAAAATGTATTTTCATTATTTCTCTGCAAAATTTTTATTTTCATTGTGTCGCTAGTGAAAACCTATAGACAATATTTTCTATAATAAAAAAGCAATTATAGAAATCTTTTATTTTCAAAATTATGTCATTTGTTGAACCATACGTGTTATATGTAGCACTTCTATTGAGATACAGTAACTATGTACAAAAAATTGAGGTCATCACATACTGAAAAATGATAGTCTTGAAGAAAATGGCAGAACTTTTTGCTTTGCTTTGGCATTAAATGGTCTCAGAGAGAATGTTTTTTGCTTGGATACCATTGTGTATTGCATAGTTTCCATTGTGTATTGCATGGATTCTGTGAAACTATTTCATTTCATATTGTTTAAAATTTTTAAATGATTGTCTTTGAATTAGTTACTTTTCAATAAAATATTTTATTTCACAATGATTTGTACATTTTCAATTAGTCCATGATTTCAGCTGTGTGAATTAATGGAACTTGTAAAATTATATCACTGATCTTAATGGAAACAAATTGGTCATTATATTCAGTTCGAACATTCTGTGTACTATTACACTATACAGTTATACTACCGGTAATTCCAACCCAGTGAGAGTGATGAATGAGTGAGTGAGTAAATGTCTTTATTCCCGCTATTTGCATTCTACAGTTGTACAAATTTACTTTTAGGTTGATCAGGGTTTTGGACTATTATGTGACCTATTTGATGACTACTTCCAGTCTAGTGAAAGTAACAGCATGGGTTCCTGTTGGTGATGTTCACAATGATTTACTGCAGTAATTAATGAATAATTTATATTTCCCACAATTGATTTGTATTTCTACCATCAAATGCAAATCAACCTGAACATTTGTTTAGTTACTCATATTTTTTTTTATTTACTCAGCATAGAAGTTTGTCGAGTACAAGTGGTAGTTTGTAATTTATATGTGAATAAAAATGGGTGGTCAATATTCATATGAAGGAAAGTGACAATTATTAATTTCCACATGAAAAAGTGTTTTAATTTTCAATGTGAATAAAAATTGTCTTTAATTTATACATGAATAAAAGTGGTAAATTGATTTCTATATGAATAAAAATGAATTAATGTAAATCATATATACTATGCAACATTGGAATCTGTTTGTGGTAATAGTTATGTTTCCATCATTGGTTTCAATATCATTCAAACAAAATGAAGCAAAGTTTCATTCACAAGAAATATATTTTATAATTCTCTGGTGTCATTGAGATGATACACTGATTTTGGGTAAGCCTTGTACTTTTAATTTATTCATGATCTTAGAATAGAAACTCAAACCACAGATAGACATTGCACAACAACGCAATATAAAAAGACAAAATGTCAAATGAACTTCAAATATGATTTGTCGTAAGACAAAACAATTATCAATAAACACCTGTACCTTGTTTATGATTAGTACATTGGATTTATCGTCATTGGCCGCCATTTTCCAAAATTGAAAGAATTTGTTATATTAAGCATCATATTTAGTTGTGTTTGTCTCATTTTGTGCAGTGTACACCACATCACCTGCAAAAAATAGACCATTTTACAAGAATGTCAGGGTAATTAATTAATTAAATACATAAATAATATTCAAAAACAGTCAAAATTCAGTAAACACTAGTAAACGACCTTTCATGTAATTATATGTATAGTCTCCTGTTTATTGTTGTGCAACCTCACAAAGCAGTATTTTGCGGCCCACCCCTGGTCGCCAAAACTAGTCGTCCCTGCCAGTACTTTACAACAGCGACCTCTATATGCAGCCTGTAAGTAATGTCAAAGGTCAAATCTCATTCGCGGCCATCTTGTTTCACATGTTTCAAATTCGCCGAGAAGAAAGATATGATCTTGTATTTTTCGAGAATAGTGTAACCTTGTAAACGTAACCGAAGTTGATAAATTTTGAATATTAAGATGGCAGTCAATAGGTCCATTGCTGCCCAGTTCTTTATGGAAGAAGAAGATGGAATGGCTCCCGAAAAACTGGAGTCGTTGTCAGACAAGGTAATTGTTTTTGTATATATATATATTGACAAGTGTTATTAACTGTTGTTGATATGGTGTGATCATGCATTTATATCCAACTTTGGGCTGCTACAATGAAAAGCTTGTCAATTCGATTAACGCTTGTGTACCAAAGAACATCATCGCACACGGTTCAATGGTGTTGGATTGTCGCAGTCGCACAGGTTATCTATGTTGAAAGTCCGAAAAATGAAACCGGCTGCAAATACACTTCCTGTTCCAATATTGTATGGCTGTGGATATTTTCGTTCACCATTTCAAAACCAATTGTTCTTTATTTGAATATTATACACAATCTTCCGCTGGTTAATATATATATACATGTAGATGTAGAAGTCTATGTAGGCAGACAAAATAGTTTTATTAGTGTACTAGAAAATAAACTATCAGTCTCACTGATAATAACAAAAATCATTTCATGTTACGGTAAATACATTTGTTTGAATGATTTACTTTACAGTTGCAAGAAATTGATGGTGGTGATTAGGAAATTGGTTCATTGCATTTGTTGCCATTTCAATGTTTATGGGTGCTTTGACATCTTGTTGCTGGAGTTAAGTGTCCGGTTCGCTATACTCCTCATTACAATTATGTTTGTAGTGTGTGCTTTGACATTGTGCCTCCAAAGTGGAAGGCCTATACAAATTTTGCATTGTGTTAAAACGTAAGTGTTAATGTGCTGCATTCATTCCATGAACTCTGAAATGTCCTCCAAATGCTAAAAATAAGTTGTGAATTATAAAGCCGTACATTGATTGTGCATTTGATATATGAACACTTGATATGAATATGAACACATTTGGTGCATGTGTTTCGATTTTTGTTATTGTTGTGCTATGTTTTATTTCAGGTTGTTGATTTATTGAATCAAGCACATCTTATGACTAAAGATGTCCAGAAGATTGGTAATTTGAAACAAGTTCAAGAGTTGATTGTGAACAGAGACACCACCTTATTAGACAGCTTTCTAGATGTAAGTAATTGTGACTTTCTGACTCTTGGTGGCAGTGTTTATATAATTATCAGATTTTCATCATCATGCTGTCTTGCATTCTTTCAGGAAATGCTTCAATTCCAGCATGACAAGTCAGCTGATGTCAAGAAGTTTGTTGTTGGTTTTATTGAAGAAGCATGGTAAGAATTATCTACGCATAAAGCAGTGTTAAATTTGGGTTAAATTTAATTCGTGATTCCAAATTTGACTATTGGCAAAATTTGGCCAAACTGGGTTTGAACCATGACTGTCGCATACGACTTATTTACCACTTATGTCTCACTGAGAATGTTCTAGAACCGTACTGTGTCTGGGTGGAATATTCTAGATTTTTTTTAGAAACTGGTTGAATAGGTAATAGAACACTGTAGGAGACAATAGAAGGTAATGGAACATTCTAGAAATTTGTAGTAAGTTCCAGACTCATTATGTATGCTGATGTAATGGTCTATTTATAGACAGTGGGGGTATATATAGGGGAGTTGTTCAGCACTGAGATCAGATCGGAGATCTCGTTGAATTGTATTGGAGTTTAAGTATCTAGTTATTGGAGTAGTGGAGTTTTACCGCGTTATTGTACTTGATGTTTGCAGAGTATAATAATACCAGTACCAGTTGAAACCTCATCTGTTTGCTCTGTGTTCGTATTTTATCATCGCTGCCAGGGAAGTCTTTCTGTTACTGTTGCCATTTTGGTATTTGAACCATCACACCTGTACTATACCAACTACGGTAATATTACGTTGTGTGTGACAATGACTTTGATATTCACTGTCAGTATCTATAGTCCCTACTCTATGAGGGATTTGTGTGGGATAGCTATACAGATGTTATCATGCAATACATTTGCCGTCACGTGACCTGCACTAAATTGAGCTTTTCATGTTTATGCAAATGATGCTGTTCCACTGACAGCAACAGGTAGAGTTACCTGGTATCTACCATTGCATTGTAGACTGTAGTTACCTGGTATCTACCATTGCATTGTAGTTACCTGGTGTCTACCATTGCATTGTAGTTACCTGGTGTGTACCATTGCATTGTAGTTACCTGGTGTCTACCATTGCATTATAGTTACCTGGTGTCTACCATTGCATTGTAGTTACCTGGTGTCTACCATTGCATTGTAGACTGTAGTTACCTGGTGTCTACCATTGCATTGTAGACTGTAGTTACCTGGTGTCTACCATTGCATTGTAGTTACCTGGTGTCTACCATTGCATTGTAGTTACCTGGTGTGTACCATTGCATTGTAGTTACCTGGTGTGTACCATTGCATTGTAGACTGTAGTTACTTGGTGTGTACCATTGCATTGTAGACTGTAGTTACCTGGTGTCTACCATTGCATTGTAGTTACCTGGTGTCTACCATTTCATTGTAGTTACCTGGTGTCTACCATTGCATTGTAGTTACCTGGTGTCTACCATTGCATTGTAGTTACCTGGTGTCTACCATTGCATTGTAGTTACCTGGTGTCTACCATTGCATTGTAGTTACCTGGTGTCTACCATTGCATTGTAGTTACCTGGCGTCTACCATTGCATTGTAGTTACCTGGCGTCTACCATTGCATTGTAGTTACCTGGCGTCTACCATTGCATTGTAGTTACCTGGCGTCTACCATTGCATTGTAGTTACCTGGTGTCTACCATTGCATTGTAGTTACCTGGTGTCTACCATTGCATTGTAGTTACCTGGTGTCTACCATTGCATTGTAGTTACCTGGTGTCTACCATTGCATTGTAGTTACCTGGTGTCCACCATTGCATTGTAGTTACTTGGCATTGTAGTTAGGGACGACGTCAACAAATCGATGTCGGATAAAAAACTTATTTGCTTTATTTTGGGGGTGGGGAGTTTGACCTACAAAAACGATTTTATTTTTCAATGAAGTCAAAAACATCTTGGAGTATTTGTACGTTATTTTTTCTATCCAATCATAGACAAAAATAACAGAAAATGAAAAAAAAACATCCAAGACGAGAAAATGGTTTGGTGTAATGACAATTTCATTGTACTACCTACCTTTGTAAATTAAATGGTACAAATAAAGCTTATTTTTCTTTGTTATTGGTGCATTTGTAAAGTCTTTTCACACCCACCCCACAACCAACTGTACTGTCCAATTATCAATTTGTATTTAATGGTGAATTTAGTCTGTCGCCATGATCGATAATTGATGAATTAAGTTCCAGTGGGGTTTGGGAAAAAAATAAAGGAATTAAGTTTTTTATCCTACATTGAACTTTTGATGTTGTCCCTTACTTGGTGTCTACCATTGCATTGTATTGAGATCCATGATGATGTCTGAATATTCAAAGTAAGAAAAACACTCACATTACTGAGTAATGTGGTTGTATACTGTAAACTGCTTAGTTTTTGCTGCTGTGATGAATTTTTGACGACAACATTCATGAAGACAAAATTTGGTGAAGTCACTGACGCTGACAACTTTCACTGTTACAAAATTTCATGATTTTGTACCGGTAAGTCAGTGAAAATCTCTTGTGAAATTGAAACAGTTTACAGTAGAAAAATAGTTAATTACTAAATAAAGTGGTTGTACATTTTAATATTCACAGTAAAAAGGACACTGAATTGCTGAGTAACGTGGTTGTTCATCTGAATATGATGCTGAGTGATGTCACTCAGAACGTAGCAGTTGTCAAGAAAGTAATACTTTGTAATACACAGTTATACAAAGTGGCGCTCAAGGTAAAAAAATTCTATTAATTACAATGTAGATACATAACATGTCAAATATCTTTGAATATCATCACGGCTAGATATCAATTCTAGGTCCGTTCGTCTGTTCAGAGTTGTATCTCAGACACACATTGACTGATTCAAACTTTGCACATCATGTCTTAGAGACACTTTTTTTTTTTATTTGGAGATAGGAACAAAAATGGCCAACCGATGGCCATTTTGGACATAAAATTTGTTATTTTTGTTTCTCAAAGATGACTTAGACAATTTAGATCAAAGTTGTTATGATTGTACATATTAGTTGCATGTCATCGAACAAACATATTTTCATTTCGCAAACAGTTTTGATGAAAAAGGACTAAATCACCAATGTTACATGTCAAGGGCTGTTTTCTTAGTTCAGTGAAACTTGGTACACTTATTATTCTTGGAATTCATAAAAGCTGCGTTTTGTGCCAAATTATTTTTCAAAACAAAGTGCCACAATGAGCCATTATTACTAACCTGTGGCAACTACATATACATTTAAGTCATTACACTATAACATTGCAATTTTTATTGATCGTTTTTAATTCAGAAAAAAACTTTTTAATAAAATGAAACATCCAGCATTTAATTGTCACAGTTTGCATATGACTCTTATTAGTTTCTTGCATGTTGTACTGTAATCAGGATTACAAATAACTAGTCGAGTTGGGTTCGAAAATAGGGACTATTAACTTGGGTCTGTCCATCCATATGGAGCTATATCTTGGACACCCATTGAGGGATTTCATTCAAACTTTACATGAAGACAATACATAATGTCTTACATATGCGCGTCAAGTTACTTTATGATCAGATAAAAAATGGCCGACCATTTTGGAGGTAAAATTTGCTACTTCTGATACCTAAACGTGTCCGCAGCAGTTTCTCAGAGATGGCTGGGCCGATGTGGATCAAAGTTGGTATGATGATCATACATATTGGGTTGTAGGTGCACGTCATTTTTTTAGTTCCGCTGTCGACAAAGTTGACACAGCAAAGTTGTTCATATTACTGATTGTCCGTTGTAGTCGTCTGTCGTCAACTTTACAATTTCAACTTCTTCTTCAAAACCGCAAGTCAGATTTTTTTCAAATTTGATATGCAAGTACCTTGGATGGTTCTTTCTCAGAATTGTTCATTTCATGTCAAAATCTCAAATTCTTTAATTTTGGTGAACATTTTTGGTAAAAAGTGATATTTTCGACTTCTTGTTAAAAACCACAAGTCTGATTGCTTTGATACTATACATACAGTATTGTTCATTTTCTAATGATATTTCTAGTTCTTAATTGAAATGTGCATTGCTAACAGCGGAGCTATCTCAGCCGACAGGCTGCTTGTTTTCGTGATTCGAACAAATATGGCAGACTGGCGGCCATCTTGTTTTTTATGTTACCCGTGCTACTTTATCTTGAATGCTATGAACGTTTCTGTTTAAATTTTGTACAAAGACAGTATACCAAGAGATACAACTACACCATTATTATTTTTGTGATTCAATTCAATATGGCTGGCTGACGCCCAATTTCTATGTGTTTAAATTTTGTACAAAGACAGTATACCAATAGATACATCAACATGAACATTATTTTTGTAATTTGATTCAATATGACTGCCCAATGTTCAATTCTCGTGACTCTCATGACTTGTTTCATCTGTTATGCTTGAACATGCTTGAGCTGTAAGGGTAAAATGGATATGAAGACAACATAGTAGGACTTTAACTCACAGGGGTATCAACAGTAATTACCTTGATGCACTGTTTCTAAAACCATAGTACCGGTATACATTTTTTTCTTCATTTTGATTGCTGACAAACTGGTGGCCATGTTAGTTCGGACAAACATTTGAACATGTCAATCATTTCTCTGGCATTGTTGATTTTATTCAAACTTGTTTTGAATATTACAGGTGATAGTTTTGATGCACGACTGCATTGTACCGGTAATCTAATTCAAAATGCTGTCTTGTGATCATATTTTATTTTCATACATAGATTTTGTTCAAGAAAGTTTTGCACTCGTGGGTAACGCATTAACATGCTGACTACTCCCGCAACATTTAATTATAATCTCCAGTGTTCTCCCCAGACTTCATGTCAAGCATCACGGCCAATTTGCATAACAATGCATCTAATTTGCATAATTTTTATTTGCATAATAATCAGTTTGTCCCAACAAATATTGTCAATCTACAATTAATTAAAGACAAGATATTTTTATATCTGATAAATTTTATATCATTTTACTGCATTGTATTTTTGGTTTTTGTATCAAGTCAAATAAAGTTTGAAATGGAACATCATAAAAAATAAAAACAAATTGAAAAACTTGTGTTATAGCCAGTCAGTGAATATACTGTTATCCATGGATGTAACTGGTTCATCATTGTGTATAAGTTTTAGTGCCCATGTCACTGTCGGTTCATATAAACGTCGGGGAAAACATTTTTTGGTTA